CTTTTTCTTTGAATCATTTCTCTTCAAGGAATAGTATGACTTGATCTTTAATGTCTGGTTCTTCATCCCATATAAATAGGTTATTTAGAAAATCATGTGAAAGTGGCCTAGATGGTCCCCTTAAAATTTCTAGGGGTTTGATTTCTTTTAACTCTTGCGGAAGTATTGGATATTCAAGAATGATCAAATTTGGATCATTCGTTTCTTCGATGTTGATTGCTAGATCAATAATAGTAACTGATGCAATTACTACTTTAGGCTCAACAAGGGCAGTTTGCTCTTTCATTCTCTCTCTAATCATGGACCCTAGGCTAAGGCAATCCTTGGCATTTTCTTTATGAAATTCCCTAGCCACAGGGTTTTGCGTGTACTCATTCTTATCTGGTATTTTTTTCATATGGTGGATAATTTGATCCCTATGTGTCTTCATATTCTTAACTTTTATTGGGACTGTTGGAATAGTTTCTTCCTTTTGTTGGTTCGACTTCTCTAATTCTATAGGAGCTCCCCATCAAATAGATCTAGACCTATGACAATTCTTATTATTTGGTTTCTGAAGTTCCTTAGTAACGTAGGCCACTCTACCATTTCGGTCTTCATTTTCAGAGCGGTATCTTCATGTGCCCCAAGGCCATATTGGATGATTTTGAAGCTTGAGCATGGATCTTGACTCGTTGATCTTTATTAAGTTGAGACGGTCTTATGGTTGAGCCGGATCTACAAGAAGTGGACGATGAGAAGATTGGCGGTGTCGGATTGCTGATGCGGTGGAACTTATATGACTTTACTGTTCAGGGGCTAGAGAGGTCATTTGACTCTAACCTGACTGACGACTCAATGTCCTAGGTGAGGCATGTGACTCAACAAGGGCAGTACGCCTAAAGAAAGTTTTGACCTTGGGTAAGTTCTTAAGACACTCGATTGGAAAAGACTCGTAATCCCTAGAATTGTGCAAGGGTGAACATTGAGGAATAGAGGCATAACTTGAAGAATTCTTGGGTTTAGGTGAAGATGTCTTACTCTCTAGTTTTCCTTGGTAGCTAGCCTTGCTTGAGTTAGATTTGGACATTTATGGGAGGTGCGCCCCTGATTGGACAGTATATTCCCGAGACATAGACATAGAAGATGAAGGTGGACTCAACCATGATTCTTTAGTTTCGGGTTGAATGCTCTAACTGTTTTGAGTAGCTTGAGCTATACAAACTTGCTGCACTCCATGGTTTGGCTGGACTACAGATGGGTTAGTTATTCTTAGCCCTAAGTGTGGGATTATGGACCAACTGAAACTCGAAATCGACTGACTTGAGACAGGGCAGACCCAAGGAACTAAGCCATAAGGTCTTGTAGGTCTAGTCATCTAAAGGAGTCTAGACTATGTAGTAAACTAAATAACTGAGTCAACATGAATTATGGACATAATTATAAGGCTATGCACAAAAATCTCTTCTTCTTCTTTTTTTTAATTTTATCCTCTGTTTTTTTTCCTATCTAAGAAGCAAGATAAAGATGCTTCTTATTTGTTTACGCTCCGATCTGCGTCGATCTCTGGGATAAGATCTACTCAAATATTAGCAAAAACTGAGTTATTTTTTAAAAGGTAGAAAAAATGGGGTCGCTTGAACTATGAGTTAAGAAAAATCCCAAATCTATTCAGATCCAATTACAACCCGCATTATAGAAGAGGGATTTATAAGAGTCAAATTTTGTCTAAAATCTAATTTTTTTAATTAAATAAAATACATTTATTGCATCATAAAATGTATTAACTACATCATAAATACGTTTTCTGCATCATCAGGGCACGTTACAGCCCGGCCCATGGCCCGACACTTAGGTCTCACAAGGACTAAATTGTCATTTGTTATATCATTTTAACCATGGGTCCAATTCGGGCGATTCTTGGACCGTTGGAAAGATCTCAGGCTCTACTTCAAGTTGGGATAGGATTTAGGTAGTTTTGGGATAATTAAATTGGATCTAAGTTGCCTATGGTCTACTAGGGTTTGTGTGGTCGTTTAGGACTAGAATCGAGGTTTTTAGGAGTTTTCTTAGCCAGAATTTTGAGGGGGGTGTCTACAATATCTTCGATAGAAACCTTTCCCATATCTGATTACCTTATAAGGGTATCTTTGATTTTTAGAAGACACAGTTTTCGAAACCACATCTTCTAGGGAAGTGAATACCCCAAGGTTTATTATCTCGAATGGAATTGGCGGATCCACTTTTTCGTCTTAAATATAGGGCAAGTGGATACACGGTATCCACTTTATTCTAGTAAAGTGGATACTGTGGTATAATATCCACTTTATTGTAAAACTTTTATGTTATTGAATATGAAAGTGCTACAGTATTGGAAGACAGTTTTTAAAGCCATGTCTTCTAGAAATGAAACACACCCAAAGTCATAAGATATCTCAGATACCTCTTTTTCAATAGTAATCCGAGCTACAAAAAAAAAAACTCTTGGTTGATTGCCTCTCCAATTAAAAGGTCTCTTGCTCTGATACACTTTCCAAGATAATTTCCTTATTACTTCCATCGAAATGATCTACCATGTATTTAACCCAGCTTTCCTTTCCTTTCCTTTCCTTTTATGTTATATAATTACCACTCATTCACCTTCTTTTGTCTTGGTGCCTATAGTTAAATTTAATATGGGTTATTTACCAATAAAAAGGTGCACAAGAGGAAAAGTACTCCATCCCATTACGCTATGTCATCATCATCATCATCATCATTTTAACCTTTTTCCAATCAGTTGGGGTCGGCTTTATGAATTATCGTTTTCCATTCTACTCTATTAAAGGTTATATCCTCAGTGAGGTCATAAGTCCAAAAAGATTTCGGACTACTTCTAGCCACGACCTTTGGGCCTATCTCTTGCCCTTTCCAGTCTTTTCACTTAAAATAACTTGGACCTCCTAACTGGTATTGTACGTGGTCGGCGCCACATATGGACAGCTCATCTCAGTCTACTCTTTTTAATTTTATCACCTATTGGTGCCATGCCTAAATTCTCTCGAATAGATTCATTTCGAATTCTACTCCTTCTTGTCTTCCCACTCATCCATCTCAACATCCTCATCTTTGTTGCACTTATTCTATGGATATATTATTTTTTGACCGTCTAACATTCTGCCCCCATAGAGCAAAGTAGGTCTCACCGCTGTCATATAGAACTTGTCCTTCAACCTCATTAGTATGTGGTGGTACATAAAATTCCAATTGTACATCTCTTTTTCGCCCACCCAGCTCTAATTCTGTGTGCGACATCTATTTTGATCTCTCATTTTTCCTGGATTATCGATTCAATATGTCGAAAATGCGAATTTGTTTTTTGTACTTCCTGGCCGTCAATTATAACTACTTCTTCGTCTCTACTCCTACTATTACTAAATTTGCACTCCATACATTTTGTCTTAGTACGACTAATTTTAAAACTTTTGGACTCTAGAGCATCCCTCCAAAGTTCTGATTTTGTGATGACATCGTTTTAGGTCTCATCAATCAAAACTATGTCATCTACAAACAACATGCACTACAGTATTTCATCTTGTAGGTGCCTAGTTAAGTCATCCATAACTAAGACAAAGTGGTACAGATTCAATGCTGACCCTTAATGTAGACCTCTTGTCACTAAAAACTCATTCGTCTCGCCACTAGTTGTTCGTACACTAGTTAGTGCTCCATCATGCATATCTCTCACCAAGTCGATATAGTGTGTAGAGACGCCTTTCTTTTTTAACACCCACCAAATCAAATATCGAGGCATTATATCATAAGATTTCTCCAGACCATGTGGATGTCTTTTTCCTTTGTCCTAAGCTTCTCAATCAGTTGCTTAAGTAGGAAAATAGCCATTATTTATGTCATGACATGAAATGTGTTCTCTATGTCAAGATTAAAATAAAAAAATTGACTAATTTTCCTATTCTGCAGTCATGTACACATATATACTATCGACACCAGTGATCTGAAAATTGCTGAGCCTTGGGTTTGGGAGCTAGGTGATTCTAGGTCGAAAATCCCCTAGACTGACACTTGTCTATGGACTTTTTTGTTATCTTTCAATTTTTCGTATTAGACATTACTCGATGTGGCTTGAACTCACTGTAATGGGACTGGGGAACTCCGGCTCAGCCCCTGGTTAGTCAATGAGGTGGTTAGTCAATGAGGGTGGCAACGGGCCGGGCCATCTTTTTTTTTTTTTGACAAGAGTATGTAATTTTATTGATTCAAGAACTCATTACAAATATATCATATTACAATAGAGAATAAGAAATCAATAAAGAATCTTAACTCAACATCCTTCCTAGCTAATTCACCTATACCCGAAGTCGCCTCTTTATAAATATGGTTAAGAATACGTTTTTGTCAAATCCATTACTTTCAGCCACAAGGTCTAAAAGATTTATTACACCAATTGATAATGTTTAAGCAATTTCTTTTAAATGGGCCGCTGGTCCCCATAAACAAATAAAAAAATAAAATAAAAGAAAAAACAAGATTGAAAGACGGCTGTAATGGCCGAGCGGCTCTCAGGCCATAGTTTATCGTGCAGGCCCTACGTTTTTAGAGCTGGGCCGACTGGGCCCGGCGGGACCACCCGGGCCATTGCCAATCCTACTGGACAGGGACTGGTTCCAACTTTTTAAAGTTCAAAACCCACCAGAACTCAAAAAGAGAAAAATGAAAAGGTCAACATGAAATTAAGCAAGGGCCTCCACCAAATGAGGCTAAAGTTTAATGTCGCGGATAAGGAGCAACAACTGGATCCCATCTCTTTACATGGAACAAAGAGATGGTGAGCTGGATGGACGGTCCAAATTCTCCAATTTGTGCTGTTTCCTTGAAAAACTAAATCCCTTAAAAAATAGGAATTATAATGGATGAAAGAAGCCAACTGGGTCTTTGCTACTCATTGAAGGAAATTTTCTATGTGCCCAATATGAGTGCTAGCTTGCAAGACTTTCCTTAGTTACAAGCTCTTGCCAAGAATGTTCTCTCTCTAGAATGGTCTCTCTCTCTCTCTAGGATGGTTTCTCTCTCTCCTCCAGCCCTATATAAGTTACAGTCATGCTCTCTTCTTCCATCCCCTCTCTCTCTCTCTCTAGCATGGCTCGCTTCTTATCTATCATTGCTGTGTTTCTCCTTAGCCTCTTGGTCCTACTGGAATTTGGATTAGCAGTACAGCCACAAGTGGTATGCGCTTTCAACAATAACACTATTCTTCTTTCTATATTCAAACCACCTGTTGTCTTCAAACCATCAATCTTCTTACATTAAATAAAGATTTAAACCTCAGATTGATCAGGTCGATTCTTTTACCATCTAAACTTTCATAGTTTTGTTCCCCCCATGATCTCATGAAGCAACCATTGTGCAAATTTTTGTTTTTAATTATCTTCTTTTTATTTATTTATTTTTTTGTAGGTGAACCAAGGTGGCCTCCCTTCAACCACTATTGGTAAGTGATTTTTTTTTTATGAAGTAAGCACCATGGTGCTTGTCTTTTTCTTTTTTTCTTTTTTTTCTTTTCTCTTATTAGTTCAGTAGTAGCAATGGAAATATAGCGTTGCTTAACGTGAATTGCTAACCACTCATCTAAAGCTCCATGCACATGCACATGCACATTGTTTTGTTTTTTTTATTGTTAAGAAACACATGCAATACTTTTTTCTATTTTTTTTGCTCTTTTTCACAATGTTGGGGTTTAATTTGTAGATTGTGGAAAAGCATGCTCCGGCAGGTGCAGGCTATCGTCGAGGCCACACCTTTGCAAGAGGGCTTGTGGCACATGCTGTGCAAGGTGTAGCTGTGTGCCTCCGGGGACCAGTGGAAATGGAGAAAAGTGCCCATGTTATTATAACATGAAAACTCATGGCAACAGACCTAAGTGCCCTTAATAGAGTTGCTATGAGCCTCTATTTGGGTTCCAACAAAGTCCTCAATTTCTCTCATTTACTACATAATTCTAGCTGATGGTGTTTCAGTTCATTTGAATTATTCATATGTCGAAATAAGCACAGGCCTAGCCCTATGCTTTGGAGTTGATTTGGGTTATGCATCTGGATATAAGAGAATAAGTGGAATGTATCTTTCTTTGTGTTACTGTTTGCAGTTTTTACATGTGTGGTTAATCAACCAATTTATCAACAATGTAATTATTTTAAAAGGATTATTTTACTCAAGTACTCTACAATTTTTTCTAAAAAAACAGAAGATTTGTATTTTTGAATAAGCATTGGGGGTTTTATAATTTGCCACACTTAAAAATAGAGTGGTCTAGATCAAATAATATAAATATTCTTGCTTGTTCTAGGTTCCAAATTTGAAGCATGTTCAAAATATCTTATTTCAAATTTAGAACCTGGAAACAGAAGGCTATCTGCATTAGTTTGAGTGGCCAATAGCAAAAGTCGAAACTACATCAGTTTTGTTTTACGTTCCAAAACCGCAATAATTTATGCTTAAAATATCTTATTCTTGTTAGTCTTATAACAAGCAAGGTTATTTTGATTGGGTTCTAAATCCGCAAAAATTTATGCTTAAAATATCTTATTCTTATTAATCCGTAACAATCAGGGTTATAGGATTCGAACCCTAAATAAGGGCGTGCATTGTACTTAAAGCATTTGCAAAGAAGGGTTATTTTAATAATATGGCCCTGTTTGTATTTAAAGCAATTACAAGAAAAAAATATTTAAGAAACTACAGGAGTGAAATGATCTTATTGTAATCACTTTATTAATAAAATAATTTATTTGTTCACCCTATTGAATCTTCTAATTTTCCGAGTGATTTGACCATTATTTAATGATAGCTTCCTCCTAACCTTTTTTATTTTGTTAAATCGGTTCTAATTTTTATATGGTGACCACCCTACTTATATTTGCAACGGCAAGCAGGGGTGCGATTCCTCTCTATTATGCTAAGTAAGCACTTCTTGATTATTCGGAAAAGGCAAACTTAAAACTATAGCGTTTTAATTGCTCATATATTTAAAATGTCAAGGACTTAATTTGCTCCCTTTCTGATTTAGGGATATGTTAATGATCTTGGCTGATATATATGCATGACCTGGTTGTACAAAAGGTAAGGGGGAGACCATTTACCTTCGGTACAGAGAGGTTGTAATTGTTTATCACTGTCTGATACAAAATTTGATAGCTTGTGTGTGTCAAATTTTCGAAAATTTCTTTTGAACTTTAAGTCTGGTCAATACAATAAATACAATCAAAAGTAAATGGTCTCTCTCTGTACTTTCCCATATAATGATTGTAAACAATGACATAATTTATCTTTATCATAAAGAGGTCACATTCATCATGTCACCATGTCATTATAATGTAATAAAACTACTCTTCTAAGAAATTAAGTATCTGGCAATTGTATGACTCAAAAAATTGGACATACACTCTTCATTCTAATAATCAACCCCTAAAAGTAAGATATCGTCAAAATGAGTCTCATCCAACAATGAATTTAGCCCATCCATTTGGTGATTTTTAAGATCTAGGGCTTCTTGAATTGAAAATCAATTATTTCTTTTTAACAGTATTAATCTAATGAAAATAAAACTATCTAGAAAATTTGAAAAAGGAAAATGATCGTTCTACTTTCTAGGTTGTCATTAAATTTTATTTTTTTGTGGGTCATTAGAATGAGAATAGTATATATTTAAAACTTGAGGTCAAATAAATGGCTCTGCCATAGTTTTTGAAGATTTATTTATTATATTACTATATAGCTAGTGTAAAACTGACTTCATATATATATATATATATATATATATATGGCTGATATTTACCCACTAGCTTATATGAACATATGAGCCCAACAGCTTAGATTGAATCTGGGTTGATTTGACGATCACAACTTCATTTCGCATTTGAATTTTAATTTACAAATCCAAATAACTTGAATTTTTAGGAATCCATTCTTCTCATCAAGGCGCACCTAATAAAAAATATTTAAAAAATAATTCATAAAAAATAAATTGACTAAAATACTCCTAAAAATATTTCAAGTTCATGGGTATTTTGGTTAATTTATTTCTTGCAAAAAAATAATAATATTTTTATTAGATTCTCCTATTTTTGAAAACACACGCCTAAACTTTCAAGTTATTTTGAATTTTAAAAAAAAACTAAAATTTAAATATGAAATGAGGTTGTGACCTTCTGATCGGCCCATATTCAATCTGAACCATTGAGCTCATATGTTCATATGAGCTAGTGGGCTAATCTTAACATATATATATATATATATATGATCGGTCGTATGTATGTCCACTTCAAATTTTAATTTTAATTTTTTTAGATCCAATCAAGTTGAAACGTTTGGGGATCTACCCTTCCAAAAAGGGCATACTACTAAAAATATTTCAAATAAATAAAATAAAAATTTATCAAAAATACACTAGTATTTGAACCATTTACCATTTTTTATTAATTTCATAACCCATTTATTGTATCATTCGAATGACTATTTGGAATTTGATCAAAAGAATGAAATGCAACATAAAATTAGATTAAAACACCTGGGTTAGATGCTAAATAGTTCAAATTATAGTTAGCACTTTGATAAATATTCCTAATAAAGAATATTATTTTCATAATTTTCGAAAGGGTTGAAGAATAAAGCAAGAAAGAGTTAAAATTTGAGAAAAACAGAAAAAGGTAACAAAGTACGGGTGCTAAAATGGCTTAAATTTTGGAATCTAATTTAAATCAGTCGATCCTTGGATGTCATTCTCTCCCGGCATAGAGGCATATACATAGTGTCTCTCTCTTTATTCGCTTTTTTGTGCTTTAGACCTGATAGAATAACGGGAAAATCGTTCCGCACTACAAAAAAGGGGTAATGCTAATAGAATATTGACTTTTAGCACAAAGAGTTCACAATCACTTTCGTCCTTCATATTTGAGATCAGGTGGTTGTGAGCAAGTTATTATCTCAACTCAAAGTTTAAAAAAAAACTCAAACTTTGTGACATACTTTGTGTTATCCAATTTGCCACTAACTTCTTTGCATGAAAGATAAATGGATTCATAGTATACAATCCATGAAAGAGTAATAATCCTATGACACCCTCCCACACCCACATGCATAGAGCCTCAAAAAATCACCATTAAGTTTAGCACATATCTCTAAAAAAGTTTTTACAGAGATGTAGAACTTAATTTTTCTAGATATCTATACCAAATTTAATGGTGATCCTTTAGAGTCCTATACACATGGATGTGAAAAGATCTCATAGGATCATTACTCATAAAATACATTGGATATTATTTGTCAGTCAAATCTGTCAATACTAAAAAACTAGATAGCTCAAAAATCTATCAATACTGAAAAATTAGAGTGCCCAAAACCAGTCAAACACTGATTTTGATTGGTTTTTTAACAAATTAAGTTATGCATTAAACCGAGCCGGCCAAGACACCAATTGTGGTTGGGTAGGTTGGATTGAACAATTCAGTCTGGTCTTGATAGGTAAAGGTTTACACAAAGCTTACCATTATTTGCTTAAATTAAACTAAGATAATAAAATGTAGAAATTAAGGAAAAAAAAAAAGGAAGAAGAAAAGAGAGAGAACAGCAATTTGTTACAGCGATGTCGTTTTAACAATGAAAACTCTCCATTTATTTGGACGGGAGATTCAGCACCATTTCATGAGGGAAACCAGCGCTTCCCAGTGGCCCAATTTCTGCCCAATCCCCCATCCTTTCTAAAGTTGCAAAGCAGAAGTTCTCTCTCCCTTGGGCTTTGTAAACACCGAATTTCTTTCTTCTTTCTAGTCTCTATGCAGTTTCTCTCTTCTTTTCTTTCAAGGCAGTTATAGACCTCGAACCAAGAGTGGCAGATTTACCGAGAAACAAACACATCAGTAGCTCATCAATGGCAGAGAAAAATAAGCAGCTTTGGAGAAAAACTAATATCATTTATCTTGAGCCCTGAACACCCAAATTCGTTCCTCTATCTCCTGTCACTCTCTACTTTCTCAATAAAATGATAAGACTTTCTCAATAAAATGATAGAAATAGCCGAAGAAGAAAATTGGTTCAAAGTTTAGATAAAATAAACTAGGGCAAAAAAAAAACTCTAAAATGTTTGAGGAATCAAGTACACTTTGGTCCATAGTCTTTGATAAACTTCACTTCTATTTTTTTACATCTTCTCTTAATACTTCACATTTGCTACTCCTAGAAACCCTAAAAAAGCCCTATATTTGAGATCTGAAACAGTTTTTGCAGAGCAATCTGGCAATATGTTTTCTTATTGATTAAAAAGCTTTTGTTGCTTGTTCACTGGAATGAATGGTATGCTTCAATGCGGTTGGAAGGTCATCTTCAGCTGATCATGTTGTAGTTGATTCTCTTTCATCTCAATTGTATAAAAAAACGGGCAACAGCTCCTTTATATGCTCATTTACAAATTGATACAAAGCAGAGATTGAGCTGGTGCTGCAGTGGTTGTGAATCTGTTAAAACAGCCACCTCCTAAGAGCTGAAGTCCATTTTGCTTTTGTGGCCAAAGAAGAGATCCACAGTGCTTAAAGTACACCCTGCTTTTGTGGTAAAAGGAGAGACCCGCATTCTGATTTCTGCCAAGCTCCTTGCTCTTGTGGAGAACCATGTGGAAATCGGGCCAATGTCCAACCAGGGCTCCCCGTGACCGGAATCCCTCATTTAATATTGAGTGATAATCTGCATCATCCAAATCAGGCTTTGCATTTCTTTTTTATAATCCTTTGTATTTTATCATAGCAACAATTGTTTGAAGTTCAGCCTCTGAACCATAAAGGGATATAGGAGGACCATAATAGTAACCACCTATTCTATCTTCACCATTCATTCATCTGGTGGGTATAGATTTATAGTGGGTATAGTTTTATATATTGAAATGACTAGATACTCTCCAAATGAAAATTGAAAATAAGGTGCTAGTGTGGTTTTACCAACAGATAACCACTTGGGTTCCACCGAAGATGTTTTCAACATTCACCTGGCAAACTCACAAGAGATCCCACAAGTTCCAGCCTTCAGTCAGACTCACCAGAGATCTCCACAAGTTCCAACCAAACTGACTAGAGAATGAGAACAGGAGGATTCTACCTTCCCTAGGAAGGCCAAACGGTTTTTCATTAACTAAGCTGTTGTATCATATCCTCTAAAAGAAGATGAAGAACAATATGTAGCGCTATAATCCATCCTTTTGGAAAAAGGAATATTAGGAAATAATAATAATAATAATAATAACACTTGGATAGAGAATACAACCTGATTTCCTTTTGTATAAATTACAGCCAAATCCTTCAAATGGGGTGGCAAGAAAACACATACTTGAAGAGTACAATACGAAAGAATATAAAAAAGAAAATAGAAAAACAAAGGGAACTTTGCCACCTCATTTACCTTCTCACATATATACATCCGTGTTAATTGAATGGATTTCCTTCAAATGCTTCGGATGTAATGATTCTTAGAAGAGAATTGCTGCTCACATGTATGAGTTATTTGCTACAGAGGATAAAAACATTCACAAATTTAGCATAGGAAAGTATCTAAAGCTCTGTCCTCTATCTCACCAGAAATTGCAATTGGAGCATTAACAATTATGGATATGCAAAAACAAAAAAGGATTTCAAGCCCTAAAAATAGTGTACCTTGTAACAGTTCATCTTGACCTTTCGCTTTCAAGTGTCCACAGATACATCAAATTGATTTTCAGGCTATCACAAGGGTTTCCAGAGTCAAGTACATTTTTTGCTGGCTTTGAGGTGAGGCTTACTTTGTATCACAAAGCCAAGGCCTTACACTAACCACACCCAAAAAAAATTGAGCAACAACTCAAACCTTCAACCAAAAATATACCATATTAGGTAACGATATTTTATATATACCTTCTTTAAGCAGCAAGATACTTCAGCCCAGTAACGACAACAGGCACTGGATGCACAAAATTGAGATACCACTTATCTGCTCCCATAATTTAAAGAGGCAAACCTTTTTATCATGGCCTCTTTATTCTCCCAAAATGCCACGATATCTACCCTCATGGATTTTCTTTCCTTCTCTATTTGGGCATTTAAAGAAAGACATGTAATTCCATTGCAAGGTTACCTCAAGCTTTCCCAAAATATTTGAAACGCAGTTCATGTTCATGCCTCAATTCCTGCAATGTGCTTCGGCATGGCCCCTCTGTGAGACAAAACAACATCCAAAAACAAATTTCAGTTCCTTCACGGCTCAAAATCTTAGATTCCTAAGTCTTTTTTCTTTTTATTGCATATAGGATATCGTATTCACATGCCCATAACAACCCTGTGAACCTTAGAGAATGCTTACCTCCCAATACAGTGTGAAGATGTTGTAGGTCATCAGGGGAGCATATATCAATTAAAGCATATATACCAGGTCTTAATGCCTCATCAACCTCTCTGCCAATTAGATATAAAACATGTCAGTAGGGGTGGGAACAGGTCGGCTAGGGTCCGGATCTGCCTGGACCCGAAATCCATACATGGGACCATGATCAGGACCCGACCGGGTCCAGAATACCTAGACCCAGGCCCGGACCCAGGCCTGGAATTTATTTAGAGGACCCAGACCAGGAGAGTTGTATATAGAAAAATAAAAAATCAGCTTAAAAATTTAAAACTAACCTAAAATGTATACCCAAAAATTACTAAAAATGACCAAAAACATGTAAATAGCTAATAAGAAGATATCGGCAATAATTCATAAACTTTCCCATTTTAAGACTAATAGGAAAATCTGCAACGCAAAAGTGAAAAACATATATAAAATAATACATTAATATATATATCCTTTATATATTACGTACAACCTTAAAAAAGTATATATAAAACCTTAAAAAGGTATACATATATATATATATATGGAAGGGGTGGGCAATGATATAAAAAGAGGAGATATAAAAAGAGGAGTGCTGAGAGAAGATAAAAGAGTATGTATATATTACTATATTATCCTTTATAAATTTCTATTAAAAAATATTATATAATATTTTAAAATAACAGGGTCAGGTCCACCTAGACCGAGACCCAATCCGATTTACTATTCGGGTCCCAACCCACCAGGTCCAATTCCTGGAACCATACTCAGACTCAAACCAGGTCGGGTAGTCAGGTCTCGGGGTTGGGCCGGGTTCGGGCAAATTCCCAGCCCTAAAGGTCAGCACTAATATCATAATAGTTTAAGTTCCTACTACAAAATTCTAGAGAGTCCTAATATATTAGTCTCGAGTGGAAGATAATTGGACCTTTTGATTCCCATTTTGGAAGGACCTAATCCCGAATAAAGTTGTATGTAGCTGGATAGAAAATGAGAGGAGTACATCCCAAGAGGCTCCTTTTGCTGCCTTATCTGTCAAATAGAGAAAATTCAATATAACCACATCCCATGCTAAAGGGCCCAAATGCATGGACTAAACAGGCTTCTGGTTTTCTCAGGCAAGGAAAAAAATCACATGCTCAGGTTTTAAGCATTTTAGAAACACATTTTATGCATAGACATTTTGATAAATCAGAGGAACCCAAGGAATTAAGAAAAGAACATTGCCTATAAAAGAAAGTCATGTCAGAGAAGCATCACAGAAAATCACATTTTACAAGTTTTCCAGTATCACAATTTTACTAACCTCTTCATATATCCGTCTAAGAAAGCTTGCACATTTTACTACCTCTTGAGTGTTCCAAACACAGAAACCTCTGTTGTGAGCCAGGTCAGTGTCCATGGTCTCCAAACAGTAGAGAAGAATCCTCACTGAATTACACAGCAGAGAAATGCAATGTCCAACCTCCCTGTCAAACACAAAATCAGTAGGGTTAATAAATTGCCATGAAGCTCATGGTTTTGAAGGACAGGAAGAGCTATAAAATCTCCTCACAGGCTTGCAGAAAAACTGCATAAATCAGTAAATCCATCTCTTTACTGGAAAACAAAACTGCTAGAAAGAGTGTTGAAGAGGATAACACATTGTTAAGGAGGTAACCTTATCACAAAGGACATACATAACCATAAACAATGAAAAATCTCATCAATTTGAGCTAAAGCAGCAATGTAGCTAATACTATCTAAACGTTCAACCATTTTCCTGGAAAGAAACATAAGTTTGCTACATTATGACATGATAAACAAAAGGATGAAGGATGAACCTTTTCCAGTGCCTGATAACTGTACATAGCAATCTGCAGCAGGCAGTATATAGGTTCACACAGAACACGTAATCTATAGTCTTCAGATGCCCATTCATCACTAAAGAATCCTTAGGCCCAAACCCTGGGTTGGTTGTAAATAGTGGTGATATAAAAGAATCTTGTGGCTTTTTAATCCAAGAGAAGTGCTGAAAAAGTGCAGTTGGAAGATGTAGACATTGCCCCACGTGGCCCGCAAACAAAGGACATAGAGAATCCTTGGCTGCAACCTTTGAGAGTACCCCAACACACATGAGAATGACTGATCCAGGATCAACATAGCCTTGGTTAGGATCAAACTCTAACTTCTGAGGAAGAAAGATAAGGGGGCTTTGAAGGTGAAGAACTATATTAAACAAAGCACCAGCTAAGCTAGGGATATGTCTTGCAAGAACGTTCATGCACTTCCGACCTATAAAGCATGTCAAGAGGTCAACTCGAGTCAGAAACCATGCATTATACAACAAGAATAAATTTGCAGAAAAATGATCTTATACAAGCAGAATGACCAGGACGCAATCTCAACTGCAATCATAGTATGTCAAGGAGAAAGTATACTAAAAAGCTAATCAAACATCGAAAAACATAGTCCACAGAGTCATTAATGCCTGATAAAATGGACAGTGATGGAGAGAGAGACAGACCCACAAGGAGAGAGACAGACCCACAAGGACAGGACATGGTCTCAACGGTAGGACACGCTCTCTGTCCAACACCAACCATCATTTCGGCAAGATGCTTTGGACTATGGTTCCTATAGTCATGGGATTAAATATTATACTTTCCGATAAAGGTCAAAATTTTGTGTTGACACAGAATTACATTATAGAGTAATTACTTTCCCAAAGAAAGTCGATAATAAAATGACAAAAGACACCATGTGAACTTGTATGCATTGGGATGCCACAAGGAATACAATACCTTTTTTCTTTTTTTTTCTTTCCTTTGATAATAAATACACTACCAGTTCAAGTATTAGAGAACTATAGGGGAAAAACAAAATACCTGTGATACATTCAAGAATCAGATCCAAGCATTCAATCCCAGAGGCAACAACTGCCGCAACCTTTCCACCTTTTATACCGCCAGTTTTTATCTCATAGACCATAGTGCAACCTTCCTGGACTCCAACAAGTGCTCTTTCTACTGCCTGTATAGCCGATAGAAAATGGAGTTCCAAGGGATTCCTAACAAACATTGTGAATGATGTCTTAATCCTAGCTTTAAATTCATTCATGTTGTACTTCTCAGAATCAAATTCAGAAGCATCATCCTCCGAGGGACCCCTCCACTCTTCTAGTTTTTCAAAATTGTACCCTGTTTTATGGTAGGCAAGGGTTGCAGTTCTTCCTTGTAATGAGATAAATTTTTCTATTACTCCAAGATGTAAATTAATCAGCTTGGCATAAACATCACGAGAAAAGATAGGATCCTTAAAAGGAAGACAACTCCCTAGGACTTCCAAGTATTTCAAAACACCATGTAACCAGGAAAAAGAAGATGGGTGGGACCATCCAACCATTGATGTAGACTCTGATAATAAATAGTGCATCAATCCGATAAGGAAGTCCATTGATTGACAGAAATTCATGGGTTGATTGACAACCATAGGGAAAGATAGCACATGCTTCACCTTCAAAATAGCAGCAGCAACCATAAAGAGTTGCCCGATACAAAAAGCTAGATCAGGGTTCTTACCTTTTAATAAAGTTTGCAGCAATGACTTGGTTAAATCTGGCAGCTCAAATAGATCAATGGTGAATTCCTTGACTTGAGAATACGTGGGTCCACTGCCATAATCTGATTGCAATACTTGATTTGTGGATCCCCAATTTCCCAAACAATCACTATCAGTCTTGATTCTCCTGGAATTATCTAAAAGGAACATCTTTATACAGAGGACAGCAAACTGCTCAAAAACGTTTACGGAGGACATCACTCTAGATACATGACTATGCCTCCAAATAAACAATTGGGTTTTATCTATGGAGTATTTTCCCTTTATGCTGTTTATAGCAGACACAAAGCCCCATACAAAACCCTGGATACCAGCTGCTAAAGAAGACAGCCTGGTCCAAAGCACAACATTGATATCATGAGCCCTGAAGCTTGTCCCACTAGTCTCTTCCTCCAAGGTAGTGCACAACTTTATTGCATGTTCCTTCAATGTCTCTGCCAATAGTTCCATTCTTTCCCAAGGATCTGAGTTCGGGATTTCAACTGTCTTTGTTTTTTGGGAATGACCTGTCGTGTTTTGCGGATGCTCATCTGGCTTCAGTAGCTTCTCTGAAGTGTTGACCACATGATGGACAGGAACAGATAGATTCAACGGTTCTTGAGATTTAAGAGACTGCAGGGCCAAGTTCATTTGACCTTTGCATAGAGTTGAAAATAACTGAGAAGTATGGAATATCAGTGCGAAGATGATACGTTTCATATGTCTACTAGCATTATCCTCATCAGTAAACATAAGCGATAATGCAGAGACTTCAGATATCGACTTCAAAACCCACAAAATAGAAAATGAATTCTGAAAAATGATATGCACAAATGAGGACTGTCCAATTTGCTCAGATGACACTGCTAGATACTTCAGAGCCCTCCGGCTAGATAAGAGTAATTTGAACAGCTCATCAACAACAATATGAACTCTGCTTTCTCCCCAGTAAGATTTACTTGGAGTCAGTTTGACATGATCCAATAAACAGAAAACAACCACCCTGGATTCAAAAAGAAATACGAGCTTGTCATTGATAACCAGAGCGAAGATATAGATTAAGTTAAAGCATCCACATATTATGTTTTTGCTCCCCAGTAAGATTTACTTGGAGTCAGTTTGACTTGATGATCCTACATACAGAAAACAACAACCCTGGATTCAAAAAGAAATAAGAGCTTGTCATTGATAACCAGAGTGAAGATTAAGACTAAGTTAAAGTATCCACATATTATGTTTCTTCAGAAGACTTTTGGAACTCAAGACCAAACTAGCTGAATGATCCAACCACGACCTTAATTATCCAACAAACACAAAACAAGAAGTCTGGAGATATAAAAAAAGTAATTAATGAGAACAGTAAAGATTTCACTTAGTTAAAGCATCCACGCATAAGCCTTTTGCAACAAGATGCACCTAGCAAGATTAACTTGAGTCGAACCAAAACCTAAAAAACCATACAAATAAATTTCACCAATATCAAAATACCCACCAATTGCAGACTGTCAAGCATTTAAAGTACGCAATCAACAATTGCTTGAATAGCAAAGAATGCTATCTATATTCAATTCTACATCCAATTATACAAGAGTGAAATGAATAGTGAATATTTAAGATAATTCATATAATTTCCCATGGGTACATATAAAATACATAAAAAAGGATAAGAAGAATTCCAACCTCTCAATATTGAGGATATGTGTCGCATAAACTGAGAATGATTTAGAATTGGTGCAACTTTTTGGGATCCAACACATGAGATGCAACAAATGTTGACAATCAATAAACCCCTCTCTAAATGAAGGATCACTTTCATTTCTTGTCCGACCTTTAGCATGGGGAGCAGCTAAATCACCACTGCCTGTCGTTGACACTTTCTCAACTCTATCTATGAGCTCTTGCCAGTCTGGCACATTGTCAAAGCCCAAATCAATATAAGGATCGAAGAATCTTGGTGGTAAGGACTTCTTTAGAGCATGACATAACCTCAATCTCAAATGCCTGCAAAGCAGCTAAGATGGCAAGCAAAAAGGTATACACATCACTGAAAAAGACCAAGAATGCTGGAGCTAGAATCATATCATAAAAGGAGCAAAAAAAAGGAAGGAACAAAACCAATTTCAGAAGGCATAGTATAATCTATTGGACTATGGAGACATTAGCCTGTTGAGGTCATCACCACCCAATGAAATGAAGAAAACTGATGGAAATAGTGGGGCCCAACAGAAGAACAGGATTCCCACTGCAGGTTCCACTCTCCATCATTGTCCATCAGTTCATCAGGTGGTAATGACCACAATGGACCATACTGCTGGATTATGCATTCTATACAGTATGCTTTCACAGTTAATATTTTAGTGTCTTCTAGAATGGACAAGAACAAAGCACTAATTTCAGAGACAACCGTGGTCTTTTCTTACTGGTTGTTCATAGAGGATAGTATCATTTAGAAGCTCCCATGAAACATCACACATTGTCATTATCCTTGTGCAGCTTGTGTGGTCCACATTCTGCATCCTTGAATCTCTAGCATCTCCATTGAGATAGGACAATGAATTATGGACCAATAGAGTCATAAATTTCTTCAAATTCCTTGGCATAGCATGAGTACACCAAATATCTACATTTTGGCAAAGGAGCCACCAAATGGCACATGGCAGAACATTGTTACTCATCGAACCTACACTCAAATTCCAAGCATTATACTGAATAATTAAATCATCCTTCAGGAATTTGTGTTTTGCTTTGGAAAATAGAGATGAAGATAAGAACTCTAACACGAAACAAGTAAGATCTGATGCTTCTTTCTTTGACAGGGAGGCATGTCTTTCCCACTTTTTCGCTGATTCAGCAGCGGAATCCAGCAACCCTGCTTGATTAATTCGCTCATCTCTTTCTTGTAAGAACTCAAAAGATTTTATTTGCCAATTCAAATCAACAAGCCTCTGCAAGGTCATGACATGCAGTAAATACAAAAGTTGAGGGCACTGTGCATAACTATCCCACTGAAAATAGTCAGAAATGGATTGCAAAATGACCAAAAGAGGATCAGAAGGTTTTCTTATCAAAGAAAAATAGCCTTCCTCTTTTGGGTTGATCCTATTTTTCCAATCCATCCCAGAGTATGCTGTGAAAATATCTCCCATTAACACTGATGCCTTTCTTGCTAAAGTTGGTGGCATCAAGCAGATTGATTGTCTGTATAAACTTCTAGAAGAAGTGTATATCCGAAAGAAAAATACAAGGATCCATGAAAGGAAGAGCTTGCATTTTAAAATATCATTCTCAGGAACCCATACATCAGAGACCGCTGAAAGGAACTCAGCTATTCTATCTGGTTGAAGACCCACCAAATTACTCAGACAAGGACAGATTGTTGCAACTAGCTCCTTTAAAGAGTTTCCAACAAGGACACTATTACTTGTAATGACAGTTAAATTGTCCAAGATAAGTGTGTATACTTCAGACAAACCCCGCCCCAAAACCTCAGCTTGTGCAATTCGTCCCTTTGAATCATTATTCTGCAGGGCCTTGTCTTCTATTTCATTTCCAACACCAACAAAGTTGTTGGGTTTTTTTATCCATGCCAATGATTCCGAAACATCCATTTTCAAGAGCCGAATGCACCCACTAGCTTGACCTTCGGGTATAGACTTAATAGCATTAGTAATAGAATCTCTAAACTCTTGGGAGCATAGCAATGTAATCACTGGTCCCACACAAGTGTCAAATGATAAACTGGACACACACGACAAAATTTCTTTATCAAAGTCACCCATCAGTCTATCACCACGAGGAGATCCAATGCATCGTATAGCTTTGCACAAAGAGAAAATGGGACTACCAACCTGAAAGAAAAGCATAAAAATGATAAACACTGTAAACATCAAATCAGCAATAAATGATCCTAGTCTAATCATGCTCTAAGTATCATGAAAATTGGGTATCAGATAAATTAAATACATAACTAGCAAGGGTAGAAATTAAGACAATATACCTGCCGAAGCTCACTATAAACTTTGATCAAGAGGCAACCCACACGTACGATCTCATGAGAGAACATTCCATGGGGAAATGCATCACATAGAGAGGAATCAAGAGCCAAGTATGTCAGCATCATAGACCATATGTCAATAAGATCATCCTCAACAACCTTGTACTCAATATCTAAAAAGTAACCAATGGCTGTAACTGCCTCCTTAATTAACATAATTAGTGTTTTTATGTGCTCCTCTAGATTAATACTTTGACTTCCAACAGACAATAATCCATTTTGGGAGGAGCTGATATTCTTTATTACCCACGTCCAAATTGCAGGTATTTGGGCATAAAATCTAAGCAATACATCATAGACCTCTTTCAAGAAAGAATAATTCTCCTTTTGGGGAGTATCCTCAGTTGGAATGTAGATTTTTTCATGCATTACTTGAGCAAGTAATTCATTGATTGACTGAAGAATGCAATGGGCATGTAAAATCACAAATTCAATATTCTCTTCTTCGAGACTTCTATCTGAGCACTTTTGGATGTCCAATAATAGAGGTCTCACAAACTCTCTGAAAAGATCAAATACAGACTTCCTTGTTGCCTCATTCAAACCCCGAGAAGAAGTACTTTTTACATACAATGTGGTATAATTTTCTAATGCTTTATTGTCAGAAGAAGCATAAGTGATTATCGAGGGATGGTGCTTCAAATTGGTATCCATATGCACGTTATCACTCTTTGTACTTATTGACTGTTTCACATCTCTACATTGCTTCTTTACTTGGCAAATAAATAAACTGAGAAGAAGACCAAGGCCAACCAAAGCTTGATTCTTTCTTTCCGTTTTGAGCTGCATCAATTTTTGAAACAGGCATTTATGATAGCTTTTGGAAACTGCTTTCAAGGCTTCACCTTCTTGTTTTCTAGTAACAAAATCATCATTCTTTGACTCTTTTGTAACTCCTGGGGATCCAAGTGACTTGGTTAAATTATGGAGACCCAAAAAACCATCTAAATGCGCAAAATGAAATATGCCACTTGATAAAACATGTTCAACTATCTCTAACAAGCTTGATGTCCGTTCATATTTGATATCCCCACAGAGAGACTCTTTTGTGGAGGTTCTCAGGACTGGAATCAGTGTCATCAATGGCTCTAAAAGCTTCTCAACAAAAACTTGGAACAAGTTTCTTGGATTGGGGTGGGAAGCCATAAAGCTAGCAAAAGATTCGAGAACCAAAGATGAAATCTTTAGAAGGCAATCCCCTTCATATTTCGAACAAGAAATGGTAAAAACCTTCTGGACAAGATCGGCTGCCGCCAAAGAAGATGAGGCCCACAATTCCATATTGGCATTGAATCTTCTTCCATGAAGAGGAAATAGCAACAACAAAGACTCGGAGAATTGCTCTAAATGATCATATAGGGAAAGCTTAGTTCCATCAAGTTGGGTTTCTTTTCTTAAGCATATATCATCAGAATATATTAAAGCTTCTTTCAAAACATACGTAATTGATCTCATAAGGTGGGGGGAAATATTCAAATGCTCAACCTGTCCAAAGTTTAGGCACCATTTGAAAACTGTCCAACATCGAAAATCTAAGCATGGTTCCACTGCATCACTACTTTCACTAGAATTATTTGAATTATTTGCGGTCTTAGTCATCAAATTCTTCTTCTCTGAAGAGATCAAGACCCCCTGTATCCAATCACTCATAAAAGAGATGAGATGAGGTATTTGAACACAACCGGAAGCTTTCTCCAACTCAATATCCACACACCCAACAAACTCGTATGCAAGCTCAATTTTCCTGATATAAAATAACGTGTAAAAATTAAAAAAAGAAAAGAAAAAGGCAACATAAGTGGTTGCGATTTAGAAATTAAAGGGAAATAGCTATAACTGATTTAAAGGAAAACCTTAGAACATTGGGCAACTAAATTCACTGCTTCAGATATCTCAAATAAAACCCAAATTGCAGCCTTATACGCACCAGTACAATTCTGTTTGCCATTGCAATAGCATCTAGAATTTGTCATTATTGCTGTATCAAAACAACCCTGACAATGTTTAATCCTTTTGATGCATTAATAGAGAATATAAGCAGTTTCGTCTGAATGATAAATACCAAGCTAAAATTTTAAAAAACATATATAAAAAAATGCATGTTGTTACTAAGAACTTGATGCAGCCATGCCCCAGCCAATAGTTCGTGGCTGGGCCAAGAAGGGTCATGGGGGAAGAAAGGAGCAATAATGTAATTAAGGGAATTATTTCGGTTTTATTTTTTTATTTCAATTGCTATTTCTTTATTTCTTAAGGGGTAAGTTTAGTCATTTATTTTTAAGTTAAGAATGGGTGGCTGTGATTAAATAGGATGGATGGCCAAGATTTTGTAGGAACTTTTTAGGGTTATGAGTTATTTAAATACTTGTTATTGAAGGGTTTAGGGGAGTTAGATTGTTATTTTTGCAGAGAACTTTTGGTGAATAAACTTTGGAGGTGGACTCCTCCTAGTTTTTGTGATTTGTCCTTCTTTTTCTTCTTTTATTCTCTTTAAGGCTTGTTCTCTTGAGACCTCTTTACAAATTAAGGGGATGATTTTGTGAAAAAAGGGTTCCGATGGCTTCAAAAGAGGCACCTCTCAATGGATTAAAGTTGTTGATTGAAGTAGTTCAAGCCCTTGCAGAGAGACTAGACAAATTCATACCTATAGCTGAAAAAGAAGATGAGCTTATGCAAAAGTTCGCTCAGCTTCAGGATGGAAGGAATCCGGAGACCGGTGTTGGAACTCAAGGCAACAGAGGTGAAAGTGGTATGCATCTCGTTCCTAACCAACCTCGGGCGGCCCCGGTTATTGAGGAATTTCGGTTGTTGGAAAGAGAAAGAGAACCTGGAATAAAAATTGATATTCCAGAGTTTCATGGCCGATTTCATGCAGATGATTTTCTTGATTGGCTAAGTAAAGAAGAGAAAGTGTTTGAGTACAAAATTGTAGATCACAAAAACGTAAAATTAGTAGCCACAAAATTTTCTGGCCATGCATTGGTTTGGTGGGATAATTTGCAGTAGGATCGTCTTCGACAACGCAACGAAAAAATTTAATTCGTGGGAAAAGATGAAGACGAAGATGAGCCGAAAATTTTTACCAGTAAATTATTTTCGAACCTTGTACCAAAGGTGTCAAAACATCAAGCAAGGAGAAAAGTCGGTAAGTGACTATACTGAGGAGTTCTATATTTTGACATCTAGGGCAAATTTACAAGAGTATGAAGATCAAAAAATAAGTCACTACTTGAATGGGCTAAATCAAGGTATTAAGAATGAATTGGCCTTCAAAGATGTTTATAAGATATATGATGCATATACTTTGGCCCTCAAAGCAGAGGAAATAGCCAATCTGGGCCTTGGGAGAAACAGTTTAGTGACAAGAGGCTCTGCTTCAAGACAGGGGCAGCAAGCTTTAACCTTTAGAAAACCACCTATGGGGTGTGAAAACCAAGCCACTCAGTGTTTCCCAACTAGGCCAAACCCTAATATGGGGGGAGGTGGTGTTGGGAGAGGGGTGGGAGCACCTAAAACACCTCGTGATGATATACAAATTGTGCGTTTTAAGTGCCAACAGCCTGGGAATAGAGCATTCAATTGCCCCTCACGTCAATCCGCTGTCATAGTTAACTTAGCAGAAGAAAATTATGAAGTAGAAGTCGATGTAGGATACACCTATGAAAGCCAGGGTGATATTGGAACAAGCTAGTCTTAAGGAGGGATTAAGCCTTTCAAAGGTGAGATTGAGGAGTTGTATGGAGATGAAAGGGGTGAAGCCTTTGTTGTCTAGCGAACAATGCTATCAACCCCAAGACCTTGTGAGGAAGAGAAGTGGTTGCAATACAATATTTTTTGAACAACTTGCACATCAGGAGACAAGTTATGCACAATACTAATCGATGGTGGAAGTAATGAAAACATTTGTCTAAAGAGGTGGTGGATAAACTTCAATTGAAGGAGCATAAGCACCCACGCCCATATCACATCCAATGGTTCAAGAAAGGAGGTGAGGTACCAATTTTTACTCGATGTTTAATCTCTTTTTCCATTGGTGCTAATTATAAAGATGAAGTGTGGTGCGATGTAGCACTTATAGATGCATGTCACATATTACTTAGTAGACCATGACTCTATGATCATAATAAAGTGCATAAAACTAGACTAAATACTTATTCTTTTGTCAAGGATGGTATTAATATCACACTCCACCCTATGAAGCAACATCCTAAAATTCACTAAAGAGGAGGGTCCAAAGTTGTTTAATGTGCAAAAATTAAAAGGGGGCAGCAAGAATATGGATGTGATTTATGTGTTGCTTGCTAAAGAAAATTCTGCACCAACTACAATTCCTAAGTCTCTTGAACCTCTAATTGAGAAGTATAAAGATTTGATGCCTGAAGAACTACCTAATGGTCTTCCTCCTATGAGAAATATTTAGCATCACATTGATTTGGTGTTTGGTTCTAGCCTACTAAATTTGGCCCATTATCGAATGAGCCCCATAAAACGTGAAGAGTTGCACAGACACGTTGTTGATTCACTTAAGAAGGGATTGATTCGGGAAAGCATGTCACCATGTGCTTTCCTTGCATTATTGACTCCAAAGAAAGATGGGTCATGGAGGATGTACGTGGGCAGTCGAGCAATCAACAAAATTACAATCAAATACCGACTTCCCGTACCCAGGCTCGATGATATGTTAGATATGCTTCATGGAGCTCACAAAGAATGATTTACGGAGTGGGTACCATCAAATTCGGATTCGTCTTGGGGATGAATGGAAGACCGCATTCAAAGCTCAAGATGGACTCTATGAGTGGCTTGTGATGCCAGTTGGGCTTTCTAATGCACCAAGTACCTTCATGCGCCTAATGATTGGAGATATTTCGTTCTTTTATTGGTAAATTTGTTGTGGTTTATTTTGATGATATCTTGGCTTTTAGTACAAACCCACAAGATCTTAACCACTTGAACAAGTTTTTGATGTGCTAAAGAAAGAATCACTTATTGTGAATTTGAAAAAATGATCATTTATGATGGACAATGTTGCCTTTCTGGGGTATGTTGTTTCATCTGAGGGAATTAAGGTAGATTAAGAAAAGGTGAAGGCCACAGCTGAGTGGCCGGTGCCCAAGTCACTCACTGAGATGTGTTCTTTTCATGGCCTAGTGACCTTTTACCGTCGCTTTATCAGAAATTTCAATACCCTAATAACACCAATGACTGATTGTATGAGGGCTAGAAAGTTTTCATGGAGTCTTGCTGCTGAAAAGAACTTCACTCTAATTAAACAAAAGATGATGCAAGCACTAGTACTTGCCTTACTAGATTTTTCTAAGGTGTTTGAGGTTGAAACCGATGCATCAAGTATTGGTATAGGGGCAATTTTAAGTCAAGAGGGGCGACCAATGACTTTCTTTAGTGAACAGTTGAATGCATCACGTAAAAAGTATTCGGTTTATGAACTCGAATTTTATGCAATGGTGCAAGCCCTGCGCTACTGGAGGCACTACCTGATCCATAGGGATTTTGTTTTATACTCAGATCATGAAGCACTCAGTATTTGAATTCCCAGAAAAAATAGAATGAGCAACATGCTAAGTGGATGACCTTCCTTCAAGAATACACCTTCCTATTAAAGCACAACGCTGGAACCCAAAATAAGGCAGTTGATGATTTAAGCAGAAGGGTAGTGTTGCTCAAAACTTCTATGGAAGTGTTGGGGTTTGAAGTGATAAAAGACCAATATAAAGTAGACCCAATTTTCAGCAATGTCCTTGAAAGGTATGTTGATGCGCGAGACCCTATGGGTGAGTATCTCATGCATAATGGTTGTTTATTTAAAGGTGTGCGGTTATGTATACCTGATTGCTCCCTACGAGAGAAGATAATCATGGAGCTTCATGGTGGAGGCTTAGGTGGGCACTTTCGGAAGGACAAACTATGCCTATGGTTGGAGAAAAGTATTTTTTGCCACGCATGCGAAAGGGTGTTAATCGATTTGTGACCCGATGTCGAACTTGTCAAGTATCTTAACGTCACACACAAAATACAGGTCTTTATACTCCTCTTCCTGTTCAAGATAAACCATGGGTTGATATCCCTATGGACTTTGTATTTGAACTTCCACGTACCACACGAGGTATGGACTCTATTCTTGTTGTTGTTGATCAATTTTCCAAAATGGCACATTTTATTCCTTATAGGAGAACTATGGATGCTACACATATTGCCAATCTCTTTTTCAAAGATATTGTAAGGCTTCAAAGATATTGTAAGGCTACATGGTGTTCTTAAGTCTATTACATCTAATCAGTATACAAAATTCTTAAGTCATTTTTGGCACGCTTTGTGGAAGCGCCTGGGAACCAAGCTTCAATTTCTAGTGCTTATCATCCTCAAACAGATGGGCAGACCGAAGTAGTGAATAGGAGCCTTGGTAACCTCTTGAGGAGTATTGTTGGTGATAGCATATCTCAGTGGGACCTCGCTTTACCCTAAGCTAAGTTTGCTTACAACAGTTCAGTGAATCGGTCTACAGGAAAATCACCATTTGAGATTGTTAATGGGGGACCCCTAATCATGTGTTGGACCTAGTGCCATTACCCATGCTAGGCAAGATAAGTAATGATGTCAATGCTTTTACTGAGTATATCCGAGATTTGCAAGCTCAAATTAAGAAGAAAATTGAGGAAAGCAATACAAAATATCGAAAAGCTTCAACTAAGCATAGAAGAGAGAAGATTTTCAAGGAGGGTGACTTAGTAATGGTGTATTTGGGAAAGGAGAGGTTTCCATTAGGAACCTATAATAAACTCAAGTCCAAGAAGGTGGGCCCTTGCCGCATTTTGAAGAAATATGGAAACAATGCATATGAGGTGGAATTACTGAAAGCATTGGATATCTCCCCGATATTTAATGTTGCTGACTTATTTGAGTTTCATGGAGAACCTCTAAAAGTCAAGGAAGAATTAGTTTATATGATGAAGCAATTACCGAGAAAGAAAGAGGAGAAAATTGAGCAAGTTTTGAACACTAAAAGCTTTCAAACTTGAAAGGGTTCTTATCGTCAATATCTAGTTAAATGGAAGGGTATACCGTACTCTAATAGCACGTGGATTTCTGAACAAGAGTTCAAAAGGATGGATCCAGACTTATATCGTGTCTATATTGAAGCCAACTCGACAGAGTCAAGTTCTTTTCAGGGGAATGATGCAACCATGCCCCAGCCAATAGTTCGTGGCCGGCCCAAGAAGGGTAGTAGGACCCAACGGGGAAGAAAGGGGCAATAATATAATTAAGGGAATTATTTGGGTTTTATTTTTTTATTTCAATTGTTATTTCTCTATTTCTTAAAGGGTAAGTTTAGTCATTTATTTTTAAGTTAAGAATGGGCGGTTGTGATTAAATAGGATGGATGGCACGGATTTCGTCGAAACTTTTTAGGGTTAAAAGTTATTTAAATACTTGGTATTAAAGGATTTAGGGGAGTTACATTGTTATTTTTGCAGAAAAATTTTGGTGAATAAACTTTGGAGGTGGACTCCTCTTGGTTTTTGTGATTTTCCTTCTTTCTCTACTCTTATTCTTCGCTTTAATTTAAGGGTTGTTCTCTAGAGACGTCTCTGCATATTAAGGTCCTGATTTTGTGAAAAAACAACCCTAATTTGTTTCAGAACTTCACTGTAACAATGCTTTCTACTCTTATTCTTCTCTTTAATTTAAGGTTTGTTCTCTAGAGACCTCTCTAGGTCCTGATTTTGTGAAAAAAACAACCCTAATTTGTATCAGAACTTCACTGTAACAATCGTAAGTTCTTGTAATTTTGGAACAATGCTTTCTACTGAAAAAAACAAAAAGAAAATCAAAATTAAACGCTAAGTTCAAATGCGAAACTTTCATTTGACAGCAGTAATAAGGATTAAATCAACTAGAGAGAAAATTTGTGTAACCTTTGCAGAGGAAGCTCCTTATTTTGAAGCAACAAGGCCAAGTCCAGGCTCTTCCAACCCATACTTCCCTGTGACTCCATGGAACTGGAGGCTGCTTGCTCATCTTTTCGCAGGGCTTCAGGTTCCTCGTCCATTAGCGGGTTTACTTGGGTCCTTTTGTTGGGTTTTTGGATTGACTCTGGTTTATTCTTTTTCCTCTTCTTTCGGTTGTTTTCTGGTTCTCTTGTTACAGAAGAGGCCATGGAGTTGGCTAAAGGCTTCAAAAAGTGCTGGTGGTTTGGAGTTTGCCCGATGAGCCGAAGAGAGAAAGAGAGCGCGAGAGAGAGGCGGAGGCGGAGGCCAAGACGGAGACGCTGAGACACTATGTGGGATCATATACTGACCATATGGTTAGCAAATCGCCCTTTAATCGGCGAGTTTTTCAAAACATCGGCGTCTTTATAGAAACGGTTTTAAACAGCGGCTTTTTGAAATGGTCGGAAAAATCGCGTAGTTTTCATAAAAAATGTTTAAAACGTGCCAAAAAAATCGTAACTTTTTTTTTTGCCTATAATTTTTTGTTTTTTTTTTGGCCTTTTTTTTTTCATTGCAACCATTGCTACTTTCATGTTTTTGAAAAAAAATACTATTTCAAAAAACAAAACCTAAAATAGAAATTTTATTCCTATTGGGTTCTTCAAAGCCACAATTGTATATTAAAGGTATAAAAAAAAAAAATTCCCCTTTTTTAAAAAACTTAAACAAATAAATGCAGATTTTAGTTGTGATTATGAAAAATCATTGTGTAAATGAAATACTGTTTATAACAAATCATTTTGTAAAGTAAATCATTATGTAAAGAAAATCATATACATACAGATTTCTGTGATTATTTGTGATAATTGTTTTTTATGAAAATATTGTTTATGGAACAAATTAGAGCTCAAAACATAATCTTTTATTGATGAATGTGTAGCAAAGAGTGTGACTACATGACCAAGTAATCAATATTTTGTTTTGATTATGTGATAAAGATAAACAATATAGTGTAAACAATAAACTTACAGGAGCAAGCAATTGTACATATAGGATTAGTTCTCCAAACTTAATTTTTCAGCTCTGCTTGTTGTTTCCCCAAGAAAATGAAAAACCATCTTCCTTTTTCTTTCTAAAAATCACTTAGAGACTCTTCACATATCAATATATGTCTTTAAAAATAAGTTAGGGACTCTTCACAAATCATTATATTATAATTAGAACTTTCCAACAACATTCCAATTTAGATAGAAAAACTTTTTTCAAACTATCCCAAACATCCTATCTTCGTTGTTCTCTCTCTAAAAATCAGTTAGACCTCTTCCATTAGGATTTGTGAAGCCAATGACCTTTTTTTTCTTCCTTCTTCCTTCTTCTCTCTTTTCTCTCTCTAAAAATTAGTTAGACCCAATGATTTAAAAAACAGATCAGTGACCCGGATCGGGCACTTCAAAAATCGATCCGAATCGGCGAATCGACGATCCAGATCGGGAATTTACTGAATCGGTCGGATTAAAGCTTCAAAAAAATCCGAAAAAATTATTAAAATTCATTATAAATGTTGTTTTTTAGGAATCCAATAAAAAATGAGGGTACTACATTATTAACTTTCATTTTTTTTATCAATTTGTGAATATTGAGATGTTCTTTCCCTGTATAAACTTATTTTAACTATTAAATTTACATCACATAAAAGAAAAATCATAGAACTATCATGGATAAAATATATAATTATATATGGACTATTATAAAAAGTAGATTAATCAATTAAAGAATGGCCATTAAAATCTCGTTTTGGCAAAAAACCCTAACCCGCTAAAAAAACCCAAACTATTACAGCCTAACTAACTATAATCCAAAATTATTACAACCTCACTAATTATAATATTATATACTGAAATTATAATTATTAGTTTATATTTTATAATTATTTTATTAGACAAATAATAACAAATTAAAAATATTTAATAATATTATCTAATTTAAAATGTATTATTGACAACTGTAAAAAACATAGTACATTACATGATTTATAATGTAAAAATTCATAAATAAAATAAAATATTTGGTTATCAATGTAAAAATTAATAGAATGCGTATAAATTTTAAAAATAACACTTCAATTTTTCAAAAATTTATTTTTTTAGGTTTCTATAATAAATTTAGCAAAAGAGATTGTTAGTAGAAAGATAGAGATTTCAAATAGAGTAAACTTTTTATTTTTATTTTTTTATACCTTTCATATTATTTACAAAAATAATTATACCACTATATACAATAAAAATTAACTGTTATATAAAAAATTAATTTTTTTTTTCATTTTTTTATATTTTTATATTATTTACAAAAATATTTATATTTATACCAACCACTATATACACAACAAAAATATTTATATTTATACCAACCACTATATACACAACAAAAATATTTATATTTATACCAACCACTATATATATAACAAAAATACAACACATGCCCAAGGGGATTTGAAAAGACCTCAAGTAAAAAAATCAAAGTTATAACCATCAAGCCATCTAACTACATGTGATTATAAATTGCTGATTAATAGACTATATTTACATTTCGTTTTCATTTAATGATGTTTGAGAATTATCCTACATCGAAAGATGGGTATTCAACTTTGGTATATTAATACCTATGCAATATGAACTATAAAATGTTTGTAAAAATATTAAGGCAACCTCACACGTGCGTTTGGATACACGTGTGCATGCGTGAGTGTGCGTGGGGCACGCTCGCATGTGCGGTTGGACACACGTGTGCACGAGTGAGTGTGCATGGGGGGCACGATCGCACGTGCGCTTGGACACACGTGCGCACGTGTGAGTGTGCGTGGGGTACGCTCGTGCGCTTGGACACACGTGTGCGCGTGTGAGTGTGCGTGGGGCACGCTCGCACGTGCGTGTCATGCGTTACATGTGTGAGCCGGGCTGAACTAGATAGAACCGGATGGGAACCGGCGGTTCCACTCTAGAACCGAGCGGTTCCCGATTTTTGGTTGGAACCGGTACGGGCACGCGTGTTTCCAAGTCGAACCAAGCGAGTCCGGTTCGACTCGCCGTTTTTTAAAACACTGGTTAGACCTCTTCCATTAAGGTTTGTTTGTGAGGCTGATGACCTCTTCCTTCTTCCTTCTCTCTCTATAAACCCTAATGGATGAGCCCAGCAATATTCTTTTCTCTTCCTTCTTCCTTCTTCGATCTCTCTAAACCGTACTTCTTCCTTCTTCGCTATCTCTAAACCGTAAACACACAAATGTGAAACCCAAACTTCTACGAGCCTCTTTTCAATTAAAGAAATTTATAAAATTTTAACCATAGTTATGGAGTGACCATAGTCATAATGGCACACTTAAATGATTGTAATGAGAAAACAAAAATCGTATATTTTTTTGGGTACTTGCTAAGTAGGTGTGATGTTGAAGTATTTAATCAATAAATTTATATAGTATATTTGTGCGCATACTATAGTTAAATTATGGAAAATTATCACTAATATACGTTAATTTTAACAAAATTTGAAAAAAAAAAAACCCCAAATTTCCCAAAACCTCGCCCACACTTTTTTCCCAATTTTTGTGATTTTTTGGACAAAAATACCCTTTACGTTAGTCTTTCTACCATAAAGGCATTGATAGAATTACGATATTACGAGTACCGTAATACCTTGAAAATATATTACGGTACTTATAGTACCGTAATACCAATAACTAAAGTATCGTAATACCTTGAAAATGTATTATGGTACTTACCAATAACTTCAATTAACATTACGGTACTTTACGGTCCATAAAATTATAGAAGCCAAATTAAGGTACTTAAAGTACTGTAAAAACTAAAATTCATTTTACCACAGTAAAAACTAACCCCATGTTATATGGCAATATTTTCTCATTATTCTATTTATCTATTTCATCTCTATTTTTTTTTTATGTTTATCTCTTATTTATCTCTCCCATTTTTTAATATTTATCTCTTCTTTCTATCTAATTTTTTTTTTATCTCTTATTTCTCTCTCTAAATCTTTTCCCTCCCTAACTAGGATATTTGGCTGTATCTAAATTGGCTCGTAGAGTAAGATTGTTGAGAGAGAAATAAGTGATAAACAAGAATAAGAGAGAAGGAAAAGATAAATATGAAAAAGAATTAGAGAGAGAAAAAATTGATAAACATAAAAAGAATTAGAGATGAAATAGATAAATATAAACGGAATGAGAAAAGGTTTACGGAAGAATGAAAGAGAAATAAGAGATAAATATGAAAAAGAATTAGAAAAAAAAAGAATTGATAAACATAAAAAACAATTAGAGATAAAATAGATAAATAAAAACAGAATGAGAAAAGGGTTTATGGTATTTTAAATGGCATAAACGGTTTTTCTATTTATCTATTTCATCTCTAATTTCTTTATATTGATATATTCTCTCTATACTATGAGAAAAAGGGTTTACGCCATTTTAAATGCTATATAACATAGAGATAGAAAAAATAGATCAACTTAAATGAGAAAAGGGTTTGCAGCATTTTAAATGCTCTATAACATAGAGATAGAAAAAATAGATCAACTTAAAAAAAATAATTAGAGATGAAATAGATAAATATAAAAAAGATTTACGCCATTCAAAATGTCGTAAACCCTTTTCTCATTATGTTTATACTTATCTATTTTATCTCTGATTCTTATCCGTTCTTTTCTCTGTAATTTTTTTTCCTATTTATCTCTTCTTTCTCTCTCATTCTTTTTTATCTCTTCTTTTTCTCTACAATCTTACTCTACGAGCCAATTTGAACACAGCCAAATATCCTAGGGAGAGAAAAGATTTAGAGAGAGAAGAAGAGATAAAAAAAATTAAAGAGAAAGAAGAGATAAATATTAAATAGAATGAGAGAGAGAAATAAGAGATAAATATAAAAAAAATAGAAATGAAAGAGATAAATATAATAAAGAGAAAATGTTTTACGGCATTTGAAGTGCCGTATAACATGGGTTAGTTTTTACGGCAGTAAAATGAGATTTAGTTTTTAAATGCTAATTAAAGTTATTACGGTATTTTAAATACTTATAAAATGATACTATTGAAGTACTACGGTATTACGGTACTGTAAGTATAGTAATATATTTTCAAGGTATTATGGTACTTGAAGTACCATAATTCTATCAATGCCTTTACGGTAGAAAGACTATCGTAAATGGCATTTCGTCCAAAAAATCGTGAAAATTAGGAAAAAGGGTGTGGGCAAGGTTTTGAGAAGTTTGATATTTTTTTTCAATTTTATTAAAATTAAGGTATATTAGCGATAATTTCTCTTAAATTA